TTGACAGGACTGCCCCCAAGGAGTTTTGGGTAGCCAGCGTGTGGGAGGTAACTGGGCAAAATGGAAGAGCTCCTGGAAATTGCAGGCAAAGCAGAAGGTTTAGCAGTAATTAGTATCTTCCTGTGCGGTTTGGTTTCCATTCCTGCGCCACACGGTGCTAACACAATATGCCTGAGTGATAGCCAGAAAGTAGGGGAGGGAAACGACACGGGATAAAAATCAAGTATGAAGGGATATCTCTAGCCCAGCCAAATCCAGGCCCAGGTGTTGAAATTTAGATTAGAAGTTTTGAAATACGCTTCTTAGCAGGTATAAAATGCATGTTGTGATTACGGCACTGATTAATTGAAACAGATTTAGTTTTAATCTCAAGCAGCTCCTAGCCAAAGTTTGGGCCTAGAGATCACTCTAAAGATGTGCATTTCCTCTCTATCCTCAGAGCACTTCAAGTAATGCAGGAGCTACAGGGCAAAGCCTATTACTGTGTTTTCTATCTTTAGCATTGCATGTTTGCTAATCCAGTGCTATGAGCATTAGTTTCCAGGGTATTATCTGAAATGACTTTGTGAAATAGTAGATGGAGTATCCGTCAATGAAGCAGTAAGTTTCCTTGTAGGAACTACATGATCAGGTGTGAAAGAGTAATCATTGGAAATGGGACATCTTTCACTTTTCATGAGTCTTTTGGCTGTTTAGCTAACTGGCTTGCATGGTTGCAGTGGAAAGGAGGTGATCAACACACATTTCTTGTCTGTTTTTTAAAATTCTGACACCTGTGGATTTTAGTGTTTTAGGAGAGCGCACAAAGAAACCAGAGCTGCAGCATGCCAACTGTTTCTGGCAACTGATCTTATAGAAGAAGGGCAGCATAAAGAGTGGAGAAATGTGTATATAACACATTTTTGTTTGTTAGCATGGGAAGAATCAAATTTCAGAAATGCAATTTTGAAAGGGATCGTCTTTAACTTTTGTGCATGCTTAGTAGAAGATGGTTCTCACCATGTACCTGTCTAAAATTACTTGCGTTTTCTACTTTCCTGTTACAAAGCAGGAGGAAAAAGAGAAGGTGCTTTTTTTTGTTTGTTTGTTTAAAGCCACATCTTTCAGGTACCTGTGCCTTTAAAAACTTGAAAGTGAATTTAACTTGCTATTCGTTTAACAGTATTTCTTCAAGTTGCCAATAAAAAAGTCTCATTCAGTCAGTGTTCTTAGTAGTGTGAAGAGATTAATGAACTTTAGCACTGAAATACACAAATAGTTAAATCTACTTTGGGCTAAGCTAGTAAGCTATTTGAGGTGTGAACAGTATTTGTTTCATGTATAGAAGGGTTGGTTTTGGCTTCAGACTCCTGTGATGTAGACTGCCAAGAGTGAAAAGTGAGAGAATCGGAACTAAACTTCCCATTTGTGGATCTAGAAGTCTGTGGTGGCATTATAAAAATTTTCACTATAGCAAATAATAGACTTATGCCTTTCAACAAATAATCAGGCATGGCTGTATACTTCTCCCCAGTGCAATATTATTAAAATACCTAGAAGCGAGCTGTCTTAAAGGCGAGGAGTTGCAGCTATAGTGGGTGGTGGTAGTTATGGGTATGTCTTTGTGGTGCATTTTGGACAGATGTGTGCTTGCTTCCCCTGTACTTGGGCTATGTTATTGTACCACTAAGCTGGTGCTGACAGATCCCATTTGTTAGCATGGATGTGGCACAGCAGGAGCAGAGTCACGTGGTTTTTCGCCATTTCAGAGTGTGGGCAGAGTGAAGAGGGGTCATCTTGGACTGCGACATGTAGAAATGCTGGTGTGCCTCAATGCATTGCTTTTGTGTCAGAGGAAGTGTCCTGAGGAAAACATCCTGACAGCTGTTTCCGTCTTGCTCCTGTTTAGTGCTGCAATCAACAAAAGCATTAAGCTGGTCAGCTGAGGAGGGATTCCCTGCTAATATAAACACAAAATAAGGAGAATTTAACTGAGAGTTAAAAATGGATTTGCTGACGCTAAGATAGCCCTGGGGCAGTATTCCTACCTCTAAAGCGTGAGGTAAATAGAAAGTATATCATGAGTGTCTTAGCAGAGCTAAGGACTTCTTGTCATTGCAAATTGGATAGGTTCATCTCCATCTATAGAGTATGTTTAGGATTTGTGTCTGGTTATAGAAAGCTTCCATTATAAATAATTAGAGTCTGTATCTCGGGGATTGTATGAACACAGTGGTGACCTTGTTCGTTCTGTCACTTGTAAGACATGCCTTTCACAGCACACCCAGAATGAGATTTTAGGCAAATTGAATCATAATACAAAGCAATATCCAGCTACTCCAAAAGATACAGACTTTTTACAGCTGCATCTCTTCTTGAGGTTCTCAGGGAGCTAAAGTGGAAGAACAGTAACCCTGTATTTTTCCTGATTACTTTTCTCTGAAGATGAGAGTTGAACATACGATGCTATGTGCTTGTGCACATAGTACTTTGATAAACAGGATCGTGGCACTGCAACAACTGAAAAATACTTCACATCTTTTTTTTTTACGCAGTTCTCTGGTTGCATCCACAACACAGACGCAAGAGGAAGAACTGGAATAGTGAAACAGGAAAGAACTGCTTTGGTTGGCATTGCCACTGAGAAAAACACCTGTGAACCTCACATAAATGCCTCTATTTGTAAATAAGGGCTCTGAACAGAAGAAGTGGCAGTAGTTTGTTAATCTAGAAGGAAAAGCTATGAGTGATTAAGGTTTGGGGAAGCCAGCTTCCTTTATAATGTTTAAATAATCTCATCCAGCCATTCCCAAGTAAAATAGACATTTTTTTCCTCTTGTTTTTGTAGAGTGACAGGGTGAAAACACAAGATATTTGGTCTGGTTTTCAGATCTGGTAATCATGTGCTGGGATTTGCCTTGCCAAGTGAGAAGACAAATTCATAAAGGCTTGTTTTTATTTATTACTGATATGCATAATTTGGATCATGGAATAAGGTTACTTTGACAAAGTCAGATTCAAAGGATTTGAATGTCCATTCCTAAGTGGTACATTGCTCTGAAAAGGATGATCAGCAATTCTGTACCAATGTATTGGCAAATTCAGATGCAATAAAATAAGCTGATATGAAGCCTCAGGCATATCAAAACTAGGGAAGACTTGCCAATGGAACTTGAAACCGTTTTAAACCCACTTGATTTGGGTTTTCTGCACAAACTGCAAATAATACAGGCTTGTCAAAATGTTTGTCCTGGCTCGTGTTCTGTCTAAATGAATCTATGTTAACAGCTGTTTTCTTACTTTTATTGTGAGGATCGATTCGTGCTTGTCCTGCTCAGGTTCTACAGCTAATTGTACTGTTGAATTTTAGTTAGGCTGTCTTACCCAGAGATCTGTCAACACCATTCCTTTCCCTATTTTTCTCCAAAGCTTCAAGAAAACTTAATTTTTCCTGAGTGCTTAGTGATCATAGCTCTCTGCACATTGCTAAGCTCACCAGATTCGAGTTGGGATGCTGTACTGAAGTGCTTTCCTGTTATCAAAATGCACAGCTCAGTTCATACACCTGCAATGATATTTGAACTCCTCACTTCCCCTCAGCCATCCGTATCCATCAAACATATTCTGTCACTACAAATTTCTAAACAATTGCAGACACACTGTTGGGAAAAAAAAAAAAAACAAACCAACCCCCAAAAAGCAGGGGAAAAAAAAAAACCCAAGCAATTTCAGAATTTCTTCCTCCCAGTGTAGAATTTCCTGCCTGGAAACCCACACTGGGGGGTCACGGACCCACAGCCGTCATCCAGATGGGTGTTAATAGCAGAGGCTGTAGTGTGAGAGTCTGTGTAGCATGAAGACTTTGTGACTTATGTGACTTTTCTTTTTAAAAGGTGACTTCTAAAAATGTGCTGTGGCTCATGCACCTGAAATTGTCAACATAGAACTTGCAAACTGATCCCGCAGGGAATGTTTTTTATGAATCACTGAAAAGGAAAGCAATGAAACTGTGTGAAGTATCAGTGACAGCTATGATTCATAGCTTCTGATTAAAGCAATGCAGGGCATGTTGTGTAACAGTATGCAGACAGCAGCTTTGATATGGAAATGTAAAAGTATTACAAAGTATATTCCTAAAAGCAGTTTTCAGGCAGGTTTGAGCTCCAGAGTGACTCAGAATATGGTCACCTCTGAGGTTATTTTAATTATCTGTGGAGATACGTTTTTTGTGGATTGTTATTTTGTGGAGCTGTTTCTTGTTTTCAGAAGTCAGGCTTTTTTCTTCTCCTTCAGAGCTTAGTGCTTCTGTAAATGTGACCCTTTTCCCTTTCTGTTATTTTTCAGGGAAATACTGTATTTGCTGCCTCTTACCATTATTGGAATAGAAGTTGAGAAGCAGAAAACATGTTGGAAACAATTGGTAATATTTTTTTCATTTGTATCACTTTTTTTTGTGGCCAAATCAAGTGTGCACAATAGATTTAGGACATTGGTATGTACTTCTGAGAGAGGTTCTGTAAAAAAAATCTGCTGTGATTAAAAATATATGATGTATTTGGGGTTTTGTATTTTGTATTTGAAAACAAAAGGTGTACCATCATTTGTTCAGTGTATTTAATTTTTAGCCTGTTGTCTTGATTTCATTGTTTCATTCTACTAGAATTAAAAACTTTGTATGAAAAAGACAAATGTTTGCTATTATGGCTATTTTTGTCACTACTTATTTACAGTGCTCTGTAGCCACAGTTCCTGTAACTGAATTTTAATGAGGGCTCTTTCACTTTTGTAACCCAGTTCTTGATGGACAAAAATGTGATTTTCGTTAGCTTCTGTTTTGTGCTCTGCCTTTGACTTCCTGATTCATTAGACATGTTTGGGCTGGGATTTTTGTTCAGGACTGAACCATTCAAGTTGTCTATAGTTTGAACAGTAGAGAGGGATACATTTAAACCTGTTACTTGCTTGTATGTGGCTGTTTCTAAACTGCTACTGACTAAGAATGATTATTGCTACAGATACACATCGGGCCCTCCAGGCCATGGAGCGCTTACAGACAAAACTTCGGGATCGAGGTGACATTGCAAACGAGGAGAAACTGGGCTTGTTAAAATCAGTGCTGCAGAGTCCTCTTTTTAACCAAATTCTCAACCTTCAGACTTCTGTTCAACAACTCAGAGATCAGGTAGGAAAAGCAGCCTCCCAGGCTCAAGAGAAGAATTGCTAAGAACGTGCAAAAATGTGTGTCTCTGCATGTTGAATAGTGAAATCAAATAGCCTACGTTAAATGTCTGATCCAAAGCTTCAGGGAACTGAGAGGGACATACCCATTGACTTTTCTGACCTTTGTTGGGGCCTGTAGTTTGTGTATCGTTTTTTAAGGTATATGCTTGTTACTCTGTGGTGTGCATGGTAAGGAAATGGCGGTACTGGGTGGTGAGTTAACACAAGGCTTTCTGCCTCTGCCCTTCAAAAGGAACATGTTTTCTATGAGGTCTTAGGGTTTTTTTCCTAGGAGCCTTTTATTGCTCTCTTGTGTCTTACCCTGCTAAAATGAGAATGTATGAGGGAAGCTGTGGAATGTTGGCTTCAGAAGGACATGAAGATCTATTTTTTTTTGTATAGGAAAAACAGATAAAAAGAACCAAGAGCTCCTACCGCATTTTTCCTTGCTCAGGGTTTCAAGTAAGACTTTTTTGCATGTCTTTGGTGAGGATGAGAAAAGGGGAAGCAACTTCGCTATATTGACTTGATTATTTACTACTAAAATTTAATTTCCTTGTCAGCAGAATAAGAACTTGAAGAATATAAAAGTAGTTTGGTAAACTGTGTATCTGGCTTTGCAAATAGTTGTTCCTGTTGACTTCTGCAAGATGGGCAGTTCTGTGGCAGGTGTGCAGAAATGCCAAAGTGGGAGGATGCAGCCCCTGCACACTGAGCTTATCATCAGCATGAAGCTGCACCTGGTCTCTGACCGGACTGCAGCTGGTAAAGAGTCTTCATGATCTGGATGCTACTTCAACTGTGTGGCAGAAGAGCACAATCTGTCCCTTTATTGCTTCTTGTGGATCATCTTAATGCTATTTTGCACAGACAAGAAATGTTAGAGTGCTGTCTACAGTGCTATACGTGACCATGTTTTTCAGATTTTGCATGTTTGGTTTTTAGAGACTTGATGACATTGGAGTGATTAAAAAAAATCTAGGAAAAAAAGTTGGTCTGAGGGTTTGTTTGCTCTGCTATTTCAAAAGGAGAATTTAACAGTGACACCCAGAAATTATGTGAATTATGTAGTGGTGACTCTGGGAACATGTAGTGAGAAATTGAAGTGTGCTGGAAGCATTAACGGGAAAAGGCAAATTAAATTTTCACTTCCAGACATTAGCTGTGAAGTAAAGGATGCTTCTCTTCTTAAATAGTCACCTAAGTTAGTAAAATGAAGCAGCTGATACTACAGATGGGTAGTTTCAGATGTGTATTTTTTAAAAGGCAAATAATAATTTTAGAATCATAGAATTGTTTAGGTTGGAAAAGACCTTTAAGAACATCCAGTCCAACCATTAACCTAACATTATCAAGTCCACCATTAAACCAATTAAGTGTAGAGTAGCAATTGCATGTTTCCTGGCTTGGTGATTTATAATGAAAGTAAAAACTAGGAATCATTAAGATTGGAAAGGACCTCTAAGATCAGCAGTCCAATCATCAACCCAACACCACCATGCCTACTAAACCATGTCCCAGAGTGCCACGTCTACCTGTTTTTTGAATGCTTCCAGGGATGGTGACTCCACCACCTCCCTGGGGGATGGTGACTCCACCCCCTCTCTGGGCAGCCTGTTCCAATGCCTGACTATCCTTTCCGTGAAGAAATTTTTCCTAATATCCAACCTAAACCTCCCCTGGCACAGCTTGAGCCCATTTCCTCTCGTCCTATCACTAACTACATGGGAGAAGAGCCCAACACCCATCTCACTACAACCTCCTTTCAGGTAGTTATAGAGAGCGATAAGATCTCCCCTCAGCCTCTTCTACTCCAGACAAAACAATCCCATTTGCCTCAGCCACACCTCATAAGATTTATTCTCCAGACCCTTCACCAGCTTTGTTGCCCTTCTCTGAACACACTCCAGCACCTCAAGGTCTTTCTTGTATTGAGGGGCCCAAAACTGGACACAGTATTCCAGGTGCGGTCTCACCAGTGCCGAGTACAGGGGGACAATCACTTCCCTGCTCCTGCTGGCCACACTATTCCTGATACAAGCCAGGATGCTGTTGGCCTTCTTGGCCACCTGGGCACACTGCTGGCTCATGTTCAGCCGACTGTCAACCAGCACCCCCAGGTCCTTTTCCGCCAGGCAGCTTTCCAGCCACTCTTCCCCAAGCCTGTAGAGTTGCATGGGGTTGTTGTGACCCAAGTGCGGAATCCGGCACTTGGCCTTGTTAAACCTCATGCAATTGACCTCAGCCCATCAATCCAGCCTGTCCAGGTCCCTCTGCAGGGCCATCCTACCCTCCAGCAGATCAACACTCCCACCCAGCTTGGTGTCACCTGCAAACTTACTGAGGGCGCACTCAATCCCTTCATCCAGATCGTTGATAAAGATATAGAACAAGGCTGGCCCCAAAACAGAGCCCTGGGGAACACCACTCGTGACCGGTTGCCAACTGGACTTAACTCCATTCACCGCAACTCTCTGGGCTCGGCTACCCAACCAGTTTTTTACCCAGTGAAGAGTACGCCTGTCCAAGCCATGAGCTGCCAGCTTCCTAAGCAGAATGCTGTGGGAGGCGGTGTCAAAGGCTTTGCTGAAGTCCAGGTAGATGATGTCCACAGCCTTTCCTTCATCCACCAGGCAGGTCACCAGGTCATAGAAGGAGATCAGGTTGGTCAAGCAGAACCTGCCTTTCATTTACCTTCTGCCTTAACCCTGCAGGTTTGTCTGTGCAGTAACTTGAGTAGGCTGCACACGTTGCATGGTACATATCCAGTCTAGTTGACAGGGGAGTTACTTGGATGTGAATTCCCTTCTTGATATGTGTGTATATGAACACTTGCACATGCAAATGTATGTTTCTGGCTATTCTTAGATTTGGGTCAGCTCTTCAGAAGAGCTGTATTTTCTTTATAGAATCATTTCTTCCCTACAGTATAACATGAGATTGTCTGTCTCTGCTTTATTTAATTGTTTATAAAGCATATTGAAACAGGACAAAGAATGCAATAATGAAATAGGCAGTCATGGTAAAAAGAAATGTATTTCTTGGCATTTTCAAAGGCCCAGTTTTGTTCAAGGGCACACTTTAGTTTTCTTTCTGTGGCTGGGAAGGGGCAGTGCTCTTGAAACTTGAACTACAGGTTGGTGGAAAATACAAGGCATGTGAATAGTGACCAGGCTTTTCGGCCAAGCTGTGCCAGACTGAGGAAGGAGGCAAGTTGTTTCCCAAGCACTTGCAGTCAGAGCTGTGTGTTAGACAGGATGGCAAGTTGTGCTGAGCTGTGCAGTGTCTAGATGTTGCAATCTCTACCCACCCAAGACTAAGATGGCTAAATATTCTTGATATTTCATGATGAGCTGTACTGAAAGTTGAATGGGAGTCTGTTTCTTAAGGTGAAGTATAAGCGACAGTCTGTTAAACTGGTGTTTTTAATTTGTTTATGAGTTTTTAAAGAGCTACAAGACTACTGCAAAGATCTCGGGAGAATCTTGGCCATCTTTTAGGCAAGTATAGGTTGAACGAGAGGATGGGAGCAGAGAAGCAATAGTGGCAATTTACTTCCTGAGTCAAACTGATGCTTTGCAAGCATCCCAGCAGAAGTAGTTCATTAAGTGAGACCTACTTGTGGGCCTGTAGTGACCTCAATAAATTTGAGGGTAGGACATATTCCTGTCTGGAGGCACTATGTCTGGAAGGCATAGAGATGATAGTTAGAGCCCTGTCGTCTGTTTGTGCAGTGAGCCTGAAAGATGAGCTGGCAGATCTTGTAAACATCTGTCATGTTTTCCTAGCAAAAAAATAGGATGCAAATGTCCAGTTTTAGCAGACATATTCCTTGCATTCCAGTGAGAGTTACTACCATTTTTATGGTCTAAAACAGTAGACTTCCTTTTCTTCTTTTTCCTACAGATAAGTGATCTTTTAAGCACCAAAAGAAGATTTAAAAAAGTGTGTGTTTCTGCATGCATGGAGATGTTCAAGATTTGCTCTCCCATTTCCTTAAAGCTTCTGCGTGTTAATTGGAAATTGATCACCTTCAGTGTTGGTGTGCGCTTAACAAGAGCCTCTTGAGCTTACATTCATGTTACATGCAGTGGTTTGGACTGGGTGGTATGTTGCTTCATCTGGATGTTGGTGGGGCATGATGCTAAAGTCAGCAAATCTGATGCTTTGGTGCTTATTGGTAGGTGCTTTAAAGTTTGGTGGTTTTCTTTTTCTTAAACAAGCAGGCAGGATTTTTTTGCACTGCAAATCTGTCATTGTGAACTTAAGAACTGGAGCGGGAGAAGTCTAGGGACAGCAAAGGGGTGGTTTTTTGAGAATTACTGTCCTGACTTCTCTAGTCACTTGAGTTGAGGAGTGCTGAAGTAACCATTTTTTTTCCTGCCTCTTTGTATCCTTATTCTTCAGTAAATGCTTGTTTTCTCAGGCTAAAGAGCAGTCTTGTTTGAAGATAAGGGCGTGACAGAAAAGAGAAATAGAGGTCGTGATGTTTTGAACTTTTCAATAATATTTTCTTTTCTGTATAAAATATTTTAAAGGAAATACTCAGACCATGCTGACAGTCTTCTCCCGTTCCTCTTCCTTTCCTTTTTGCCTCTCCCTTGTCCACCTCCTGGTCCTGCCTCTACTCCACTCAGGGCTCTGCCAGGAAAAAATGCCTTTCCCTTGGCTGGGCTGCATTCCTCAGATTTTTTTTGCTTGTGAGTTTGACCATAGTTTTTTATTCACCGTGCAGTAGTGGAGAGGAGTCCCCCTGCAGCGCAGCACGTACTGGATTGCATGGGATAGCTGGGTGTCAGCACTAGAGCAGATTTAGGGAAGAAGTGGAGAAACTGTGTCTTTTCATATTGCCTGTGAACACTCACTTAACTCTGTGGTTTGCACAATTAGAGGAGACCTTTAGCTCTTATCCTGAACCTCTTTCTGCAACAACGCCGTTTGCTCTGTGTTTTGAAACGCTAA